TATATATATATATATATCGTTTCGACCGCGATTAAAGTAAATCTTTGCCCAAAAATTAACAACAGTAGTATGATTCAAGTTTTGGTGGATGGAGTCGAAACCAAATTGAGAGTAGTTTCAGCTTTTCCTACTTATTACGCAAAGGCCATATACAAACAAACAAACGTCAGTTCGAAGACCCTGGTCCCTTTAATTTGCTCCTCTATTATTCCACTGTTATTTTCCCTGTCTGCACATCCTTTTTCTTTCCCCTTCTTTTTTGTACTGTATTTTTCTTATTGGAGAGAGGAATGGCAACAGTCATTTCACTTAATTTTTGTTAGAGCACGTTTTAAGGCATTTATATTGATTCAATTAATTGAACTTCGTAATAGATAAGCCACTAAAAAGATAAAACAGTTTCCTTTCTAAACTTGACTTAAAAGACCTTTAATTAAGAGTGAGAAATCCAAATCATCCTACATTTTACTCATATTCCTACTTTAATGAAAGTAAAAAGGAAAAAAAATGTTATCTAAATAAGAACTAGCATAAAAATTTAAGAGCTTCGAGTTCGAGCCCTGGGTATGGAGTCGCCTTTGTTAGGGAGCGCTTTACCTCCCAATGTGGGAACCGGATACCGGGTGAGAAATAAAAAAAAAAAGAAGAGTTCGTATCTTGTTTCTAGGGTTAAGGTTCCATTAAACACACTTCTCTTTTTCATCAAATTTGGACAAGCACTGAGTGCAATAGCTATCAAATGCCAAGAATCACATCCCATGTTAAGGTAGACTCAAACAACAACAACAAACCTTACCTCTACCTTATAACGGTAAAAAAGCTGTTTTCGAAAGACCCTCGGCTCAAGAGAAGTGAAAATGAAGCAATAAACAGACAGTAGCAACAATAAGGTTATTAGACACGCGCGGGCACAAATGGAGCAACGTGCAATAACATAGATCTAAGAATACGACACTATATAAGAATCGAGTCAATCCAGCTAGAAATGATGACCCAATGAGTAATAGCAAGGGGCTAGGAATAGAAAACTGCAAGACTAGTACTCCCACCTTTTTCTTAAGGTGGAAGCAAAAAAAAAAACAATTAAAATTATTAACAAAATATTTGTTAATTAATAAGGTTGGCAACATATTAATGTCTTATATTATTTCTCATGTTTTCAGTGGAAATTTCATTCTTTTACTTAATTAGACAAAACTTTGACGTAAATTTTGGTTTGGGAGTCATCAGTTGAGTCTTTGAGGACTTTACAAGTCTATGCTATTGTAACTAAATTAACTAATGGAAAAGCACAAAATTAGATACTTGCCATCTAAGCGGCACTTACTTTCTTAATACAAATAAACTAATTGTTGTTTACTTCTCTTCTGTGGTAAATGACAAGCTAATACTTCCCAAACGTAAAACATAATAAATTAAAGAATACTACAAGAGATAAATATTAGTCTATAATTTGTTTTTGTAAATATTAAAGATTGCAAATAAGACAATATAAAAGTGAACTTCCTAGTATAATTCTAAGTAAGATATATTCAATGATTATAAAAGGAAAATTACAGACGCTTAACAAACTTCTATTTAACCATTTTTATAGGTAAAAGTTACTATACAAATATATAGAGAGGGAAGAACAAAGATGGGATAGATGAAATTTTTTCCTTGGTTTCATATAAATTTCAACAAATAACACATAAAAAGTGGCCATCATTTTGTCAAATTATCATTGCCATTTGCTCCATTCACCAACTCCAAAGAGATACAGAAAACAAAAGTAAAAAATGGGGGAAAGGAACCAATACTTGAATGCTTATAATTTGCTTACACCAACCACAATCATTTTCACCACGTACACAAAATATAGGAACGAAAAACTAGAAAAAGGGATTGAAAAGAAGAAAAAACCCAAAGAATCCATTATAGTTTTATTTTCACTTTTCACCGCTTAAAAAAATTAAAAAAATAAAAGCACAGACCTTTGTCCAAGCCTCAAATGAACGGTTCAGATCAATTGATGAAGGTACTCCTTGAAACAGCAAGATACTTCTTACTTCACCCACTACAGTACAATCATATCATATCTTAAATGTGGGCCACACATCAAAGGTAGAATGTATGATATTCTTTCACCAATAATTATTGATTCCAGAATTTGTAAATACAGAAATTTCTAGTAAAAAACACTTTATTTTTAATGGGCAATTTATATAACCAGATACAAAATGGTTATAAAAAATATTTTAAATTATATGCCTTGTTAATGTTAAAACAACTCCAACATCAAGTTATTCTTATATGTTATAGTACATATTTTATCTTAGTTTTAAAATTATATATCCTATATTTATAAGGAAAAATCACATATTAGATAGTACTTTGTTTGGGTGGTGTAAAACTTTAATTTTGTCCTTTTGGGCACAAAACGGAATATATAACTTAAAACTTTAATTAAAAAAAGGTGGGGCCCTGCCTTCCAAAGTCTGTCACACAGCTACTCTAACAGAACCATGAGCCCCTCTCTCGCTTTTACGTTCTTGTTCTTTTCCTCCTTAAACCCTGCTATCTCTCTCTTTCCAATTTCCATACACTTGAAAAACAAAATTTAGTAACTCTCTCTCTCCTTCCTTTTCTTTGGTGCTAAATTTTAGAAATGGGGTGTTAAATGGGTCACCTAATCCATCACCCCACTTCCTTAAAACTTTCATATTAATAGAGCCAGAATTCAGCCACTTAACTCATGCACCTCTAGTGTGTGTTAAAAAAAAAAGAAAAAAAATGACTTTTGGAAGTTGAAATCCTCCAAAGTTTCAATTTTAAGGTTTTAATGCTATCATTTTTCTGAGAAAAATATTTTCTTGTTTATGGGTTGTTAAAATGGCTAAAAATTTGAATCTTGGTAGTTAAATCATCCAAAGTTTCAATTTTGAAAGTTGTAATGCGATTTTTTTCTGAGAAAAGTATTTTCTTGTTGTTAAAATGGGGAGAAAATTGAATCTTGGAAGTTGAAATCCTCCAAAGTTTCAATTTTGATGGTTTTAAAGCTATCTTTTTGCTTGGAAAAGCATTTTCTTGTTAATGGGTAGTTAAAAATTGAATCTTGGTAGTTGAAATGATCTAAAGTTTCAATTTTGAAGGTGTTCATGGTATCTTTTACCTGAAAAAACTATTTTCTTGATTGTGGGGTTGTTGAAATGGCAAGAGTAGATATGTGTAATGTGGATTTAGAGGCCGGTGTCGGCGCCGGTGGACACAGTCGCCGGTGCTCCGGCAGCGGTAGTAGTGAAGAGGGTAGTGTCTGTTTCTCAGATGCTGATGAGGGTTCTTGTTATTCTCAGTTTTATTCAACAGCTGATGGTTCAAATTATGATGATTATAGCTTTGCTTGTGCTACTGAGTCTGAGATAGGTCCTGAGTCAAGGAGAGTATCGTCTGTGGCTGAGACTGATGATTGTTCAGTGGACTTAGAAAATGGAATTAATGAAACAAAGTTGCATGTGGGGAAAATTGAAAGAGATTGTAGAATTTGTCATCTGAGTTTGGTGAGTTCTGGTCCTGAGTCTGGTATTGCTATTGAATTAGGATGTTCTTGTAAAGATGATTTGGCTGCTGCACATAAGCATTGTGCTGAGGCTTGGTTCAAAATCAAAGGAAATAAGTAAGTATTTTCCCTTTAATTTAATGCCATGGTCTTTGAGATGTTTCCTTTGCTTCGTTTTAATTTTTCTGGTTGTTGTTACTATTTCGTTTTCCGTAGTTCTTTGCGATAACTGTTGTTGTTGTGATTTTGCTTTATTAAGCGTCTTCCGGAAACAACCTCTTTACATTCAAAAGGTAAGGGTAAAGACCACCCTCCCTGACCCCACTTGTGAGAATACACATTGTTGTTGTAGATTGCCTATGTGATTAATCTGGATGCTCAAGTAGTAATGTTACCATCTGGAAACAAATTATTGTTTAATTTACTGGTTTTCTAAGTGTAATTGCTCTGCATATTTCCTTCTATGGCTTGGCTTATGTGTTAGATTCCTTAGCACTTTGGAGTGGAAATGATTTGGTGATACTTCTGTTGGAAGTGTTTGATTTTCTTATTTAAAATGGAGAGTACATGATCTGTCAGAATAACCTTTTTTTGGTAGGATAACGTAAAAGTTTGGTCTTTGTGATATTTATTCTCTTGGGAAAGAGATAGCATGATGTATTTTATTGGAAAAAAAGGAAAAAAAGTTAATTAAAGAATCTGAAGGGAATAAATAAAATGAATAATGAGAGAGTAAAGCAATGGTAACTTGACAAGTATAATTAGGCTCTTTAATTACTTTTTGAAAAGAATTAGGATTTCTAATTACACCGACAATTCTTCCTACTACCATGCCTTTTAAATAATCTTTAGTTTCTAAGCTCTTCCTGATATTTAACATTCACTTTTCTTTATCAAAGTGGAGATTTGACCTTAGTGATAAAGTAATTACTTCTAGTTTTCCCCCGGAAAAGATAATATTTTGCTGTCCTTCACTCTGCATATTCTATTTACTTAGATAGCAGATCTTTACTTCGATTATCTATCCTCTGACAGTGATTTGCAATGTGTGCACAGTCAAGATTCTTGTGTCATTTTCATAGATAGCAGATATTTTTATGTGCATACTAGTGATGCCCGTTATTAGTACTCACTGTACAAATGTGTGATCTCATTGGAAAGGAAATGTTTTGAAAATTATAGCTGCCAAAATTTCAAGGTTTAAAGAGACAGATCTAGAAACTGGAGATTCTATGAAAAATTAGTGGAAAAGAGTACTGTAATAACATGTGGTGAAGGTCAAGAGAACTGTATTTTTAGAGATTGAGATCTAATAAAAACAAGGCACTCAAAGTAATACCACAGACCAATGAATTACAAAAGATGCATCAGATGCATATCTCAGGCTTGCTTGATCCAAATGCAGTCTGGGCCTCTTTCGTACTTAAATTCGTCCTTTTGCCCTGATAACAACCAAGTAATTGAAAGGATCAAATGGAATTAAAAAGCACATAATCTTGTAAATGTGCTATCTGAATTTGGACAACGAACTGCTACATTTTTTTGGACATCTTGGATATATCATATTGGCAAACAAGATTGAAATTTGGTTGTTGGAATATACAAAACTGAATTTTGATTCGTTAGTCTTCCTGAAGAATCAAGATTCATATGCAATCTATAACAGAAAATAGTAAGGTGGTACTAATAGTTAAAGCTCTGTATGTGTGTGTGCGCGCTCGGTGGCGCAACTGCAGGGCTTTGGGGGGGGGGGGGTGGGGGGGTANNGGGGGTAGCACTCATGTTAAACACGATAATCCATGCTCTTCGTCTCCAATTAGGAATAGCTGACTCCTGTCGCGCATAATGGGAGTAGCTTTCTTGCTTTTCCCTGGAGAGATGCTACTTTGAAGATAAGGATAAAGATCAAATTCTCCTCCACTCCTAGTATTGAAGCAAAAGAAGGGGGAAAAAAACGAAGGATCTCATTACGATCTGTTCTATTTCTTTCAATGTTTCTCTTGAATAATTTTCTGTTTGATGTTTGATCATTATTCAACAATGAAGCCAGGAATCCAATGTTCAATATTCCTACAGACTGCTGTGGTAATACCAATCACCAAAACCACAAGTGTAAAATCTGTCATAGTTTCCTTGTACCTTTTGTAATTTTCTCATTTCATACGGTTGATTAATTACTGATAGATCTGTGCAGTGAGATCTGACGGAAATATGATATTTCTGAAGGGGCCATTGGTGCATTTAAGTATGTACATACATAGATATTCACCCTATATTGGTGCATAGTATATTGATATTTAATATTCTCTATACTGCTGATTGACACTGGAGGAGCTGCATTATGTTTCCTTACCTTGTACTTTGTACCACAACTTGCACAAGTCAGGAATGTCTCTATATAAAACCTCAAGCGCACTCCC